GCTTCAAAGTGGCCGTCCCCCGGTCGACCAGCTTACGAACAAACGCAGCGCGCCGAGCAGGGGGCGAGCTTAAAAGCGGATCCACATACGGCCCCAACGGACAAGCTTCTCGAATCAAACTTCGAGCCTCTTCAGAGGGCCTTAGCAAGTTCTCGCGGGCACGACCGATCCATTCACAATCGCCAGCACTAAGGAGATCACCCAGCGGAACCGGGCGAGTCCCCTCACCTGGCCAGGAGACGAGATCCTGGGAAAACGGTCGCCTAGTGGTCCCAGCCGAGTCGCACAAGACCACTAGCGGCGCAGAGCTCACTCAGGGCTCCCGCGCCAGAAAGGAGGTCAGCTGGCTGGGGGCCAACCTCTCGAAACTGCTTACCCCGGCGAGCGAGGGCGTTCCTCTTGCGCAAAGTCGGGTTCGCAGATCGGCGGGCCGGCCCAAAGCCGTAAGCACTGTTGAGGGAAGAAATGGCATCGTTGGCCCAGTCGACAGAATGCTTAGCCTTGCGACGGCGTCGAATGACGCTCCTACTCACATCGGAGGCACCGCGGCCTGGCCTACAAGGAGGGGAAAGGAAAGGAAGGGGAGAGATATCTCTGGCACGAACAGAGGCAGCGCCATCAGGTGACATACCCGACCGTGGCGCATCGGTCGGAGAGGGCCCATACATCTGGTCGCCGCCCACCGGTGCCCTTGTGCCGGTGTCGGCGGGGGCATTCACCCCTGCTCTTTGTCCCCTGTCTTCTTGGGATGGCGAGGCTGGCGGTTGGCGTTGCGCTCTTCCCGCGCCTTCCGCCTTTCTTTCATCACCGAGACCTCCTTGGCGAGTTCCTGTGCGACCCAATCTTGTAGTTCGGGGGCGACGCACACGTTGCCCCTCACGAGGTCGGAACCCAAAAAGAGGTGAGAATCAACTTTGTCCTCGGACCCGATGATGCGATCCCTGTGTCGTTCCTCCTGCGCCTGAAGAGACCGCCCCAACATCTCGAAGGACGCGATCTCTGTGATATTCAGCTGATCGTAGCAGGCCGCCGTCTCCAAAGCCATGCACACGCGGAGGTGCTCCCCCACCCCAGGCTCTGAGCCGCTGAGGCGGGCCTCCGCCTTCCATCGGTTGTGCCTGGCTACTGGCGAGCCGCCGTTGGCCACGATGAACTTGCTGACCCAGAGGAGGGTGCGGGGCCCGCGCACGGGCCAATCCGCGAACGGCGTGACCGTGAACGTGGTGACGGCAGCCCAGAACTCACGATATCGCATCCCCTGGGAGTCGACCGCGATGGCCTGCGCCCGCAAGTCGAAGACGGGGGCTCCAGCATCGCCACCGCGACCTGGCGCAGCGCCTGCCGCCACCGCGAGGCCTCCTCCTGGGGCCGCCACGGGGGGTGCGGCCGCCAGAGCTGCTCCTGCCGCCGCTCCGGCTCCTGCAGCCCCTCCAGCGAGGCCAGCGGCGGCACCGCCAGCGGCGGCGCCACCCACCAGGGCCCCCGCAGGTGCGGCCGCTGCGGCCGGCGCGGGCGGGCCCGCGGCTGCAGGGGGGACCAGGGCGCCCACTGAGACGCCAGCCGCGGCAGGCCCCCCCAGGGCGGCGGCCAGGGCGGCAAGGCCTCCTCCGTCGGGCGCAGCCGCGCCCCCGGGCGGCGGGCCCGGCTTGAAGACCACGACCCTCTCGTGCCACAGAACTGGCCCGGGGATGTTGCACCCGACAACGAAGAAGTCCCCCTCGTCGAGGCCACCAGCCCGCACGGGCGTGCCGGGCCCCACCGAGAGCGGAGAGCGGCCGCCCAACCGTGTTCAGCGCGAAGGGCTCGGCCAGCACGGCGAAGCCCAGCCGCGCGGCTCCCGCGGCCCTCGCACCCACAAGCCGAGCCGGCAGGGGCAGAGCGCGAAAGCGGTAGACCGGGGCTGGGACGGCCGCGCCGCCGACCAGCGGCGGCACTCCGCCCTGCATGCCCTGGGGCAGCCGCGCCGCCTCAATGATGTCGGCCGCCACCGCGGTGTCCTCGTCGTAGTCGTCGTCTGGAGTCAGGATGGTGAACACTCCCGGGCCAGGCGCGGCAATCGCCATCACTGCCCAGTAGAGCGGGAGCCCACCCGCCGCTTCAACGCCAGAGCCTCCAGCTGCAGCCGGGCCTGCTCCGCGAGCGGCTCCACCTCAATCGCCTCTGTAGTTACCACTTGGGCGGGGTGAGGCGAGCTCCGGGCCGAGGAGGCCCACGCAAGGGGTAGCCGTCCGATCACGAAGCCGATGCTGACGAAGAGGATGCACCACAGCAACGAGCCCAGCCAGGATGCGCCGCTCGCCTCCTGCTTGATCACGTCGCCGCAGCTCACGGTGGGGCAGCTCGGGCAATCACAATTGACCACGGGCCGACAATCAGGGCACGGGACACGGCTGGCCCAGGAGAGGACGGCCGCCGAAGAGGATGTGATCAGGGAGTTAGCGGCCCCTTCGAAGAGAGCCTTGGCCCCGCCCAAGACAGGCATTGGGGAAAGAGCTTGAACCAGAAACCGAAATACGGCACACTCGTCAGCTGGCTATTGCTTCTACTTTGAAAAGAGGACATATATATATATATATATATATATATATGTATCTCTCTCCCGCTATGTTTTGTTACCTCTCTCTTTCTCTCTCTTCTCTCTGTCTCTCTTTCCGCATGCCAAGCTTCTCTCTGTCTCTCTTCTCTATCTCTCTCTCTCTCTCTCTCTCTCTCTCTCTTCCAAGGGTTTCACGCATGCCAAGCTTCTTTCCATGCACGCCGAAGCGTGTCCCCGCGCGACTTGCTCGGAGCCAAGAAGGGGCCAAGAGGGCCCCAAGAGGGTCCCAAGAGGCGCCCAGGACGGTCCAAGCGGGCCCTGGGTCGGCCCGAGAGCGCTCCGAGATGCCCAGGATGGGCCCAAGACGACCCGAGAGGCGCCCCAAGATACACCCTGCGAAATGCTTAAGAAATCATGGGTTAAGAAACTCATAGTCTCAGAACTTGAATAAAAACCCAACATTTCTATCAACATCGTGGGATTTACATTGAAACATTAAGAATAATCGAGACTCTGGCCGAAAACTTAGGTTTTCTTAAGCGTCGCCTAAGGTGTACCCCGAGAGAGCCCGAGATGAGCCCCAGGAGCCCTCCCACGTTGGCCACAAGAGCCAAAAGGCATTGACACCCCTTTGGCTTTGGAGCGAGTTTAAGTGTTCTCGCCTTTTCGGGAACCCGACGCTCCAAGATGGCCCAAAAGGCCCCCAAGATCGCCCCAAGGGGCCCCCAAGAGGCTCCCAAAACGGCCCAAGAGTGCCCAAAAGAGGCTCTAAAAGGAGAAGACGAACCGGCATTTCGAGCTCTCTGCCCCAAGCTGACTCCCGAGACCGCCAGCAGGCATCCAAGGGGCCACCCCTAAGAGGCCCCCAAGAGGCCCAAATCATGCCCCTGTTTGTCCCCAATAGGCCCCCGAGAGGCCCCGAAGACACCCTAAAAACCGCATCCCAAAGGCTTCGGAGAGGCCTCCCAAGATCCCCAGAGGCACCAAGAGGCCTCTGATCTACAAGTAAGGCGCGGTGGCGGGAAGGGTCATAGGCCACTAGATCCGCCGCCCTCTGTTGATCTATCACAGGGTTGCCTGGCGTGCCAGATCCTACGGCTTGGTTTCGGTTTTTATCCAAGAACTCCCCCTGGGGCTTCGCTCCATGCCGCCAGCCACCCGAAGGGCCCCCGCCGCTGCGCAACCAACGTCTCAAAGACGGCCTCGATGGCCTCCAAGACGGCGAAGATTGCCCAAGGTAACCGACCTCCAAGTTCGCTCAAGATGGTCCAAGGTAGCTTCCAAAACGGCCCAAGAGTGTCCCAGATGCCTCCAACTCCGCTCAAGGAGCCACCCAGACGGCCCAAGATGGCTCCAAGAGGCCCCCAAGGGGCCTCCAAGAAGCCAACATCATTGTTATTCCATTGGTTTTCGAAAGATGTTGGCATTTGCTTCGCTTCGGCCTTCCGACGGCCCAAGACGGACAAGACGCCTCCAAGACGCCCAAGATGGCCTCCAAGACGGCCCCGAAACGTCTCCAGAGAACCCCAAGTCGGTTCAGGGAGGCATCCAAGACGGCCTCAGGCGGCGTCAGACGGGCCAGGAACGTTCGAAGACGGCCCACGCGGCCCCAAACAAGCCCCCAAAGGCTCCCAAGAGGCCCACGGAGGCCCCCAAGAGGCCTCCAAGGGGCCCCCAGCAAGCTCCTAGGAGACCCCAAGAGTGCCCCAAGAGGCTTCCAATATGCGTCCTCTTCCTTCTTCTCCTCCTCCTCCTCTTCCTCCTCCTCCTACTCCCTTTTCCTTCTTCTCCTCATTCTCCTCTTCCTCACGTGATCCCCGAAAGGTTTCAACGACAACTGGGGGAACACATGGTCCGATAACTCTAGCCCAATGTTCGGCCACATAGGCGATTCCAAAAAGGCAGGGGGCGGCGGTGACTCGCCGACACGACAAAATGCGTGGGTTAAGCGCGCAAAGCCGTTTGCAAAATCAAGCTCAACATCTGACGCACAAGTATCCGCTCAGCCCACCCCTTCAGCCATCGGTGCCAGGCTTCACGCGTCAGAGCCTCATTGCCAGTCGACTGCTGCGGATGAGGACGAGGTAGAGACGGCTGACAAGGAGGACGACGACGGCGATGACGACGACCTTCAAAGTCGGCCTCTGGTCGGGCGCGTTCTGACCAAAACTTCGGGCGGATCCGTGGCGACGAGGGTGTCCCTGGCTTCGCAAGCGGGTCCAAGAGCGCCAATAGCCTGGATCCTCAACCCTGGATTCATGGATCCCCGACCCTCGAGGCGGACGACGACGACGACGACGACGACGACGACGACGACGACGACGACGACGACGACGACGGCGACGGCGGCGGCGGCGGCGACGGCGACGGCGACGGCGACGGCGACGGCGGCGGCGACGGCGGCGGCGGCGGCGGCGGCAGTGGCGGCGCGGTGGCTCGGCGGGCGGCCGCTCGGGGGCGGGACCGGCATCTCCGTCGGGGAAGAAGGCGGGATTGCCGACGACACGTGGAGCTCCTCCACCTGGGGCGCAGGTACCGTCGATACGCTACGATACGATGCGATGCGATACGGTATGACTCGCCCTTGGGATGGCGGGCAACATAGAACAGCACCTCACACCAGGGATGCTCGAGCACCCTGGCCTTTACCCCTCTCAAAAGCAAGCATGCCAGCTCCCAGAGACGATTTGGGTCTCTCGAGCCTTCTGGTTAAATGTCTGAGTCCAGCCTGTTTGGTCCTGCCTGACGATGCGGCCCTGGGCAGACCTAGTGTATGCCTTGGAGGAACGAAAGCTCGGGGAATCCCACACAAGCCGATCTGGGACACCCAGGCAAAGCAGGAGGAGGATGAGGAGGAGGAGGAGGAGGAGGGGCAGGAGGGAAAAGGGAACGGACAGGAGGTGAGGCGAGCGGAAGGGAGCGGGAGGGAGGAGATGGGGTGAGGAGAGACACGAGGGTGAGGGCAGTAGGGGGGGGGAAGAGGGGGATAGAAGAGGAGGAGAGAGAGAGAGAGAGAGCAGGAAGGGGGGAGGAGGAGGAGGAGGAGGAGGAGGATGAGGAAGGAGAGGAGGCTGGTATGAGGAGGAGGAAGAGGGGAGGAAGAGGAGGAGGAGGAGAGCTTGAGGGAGGAGAAGGAGGAGGAAAGGAGGGGCAGGAGGGAAAAGGGGACGGACTGGAGGTGAGGCGAGCGGAAGGGAGCGGGAGGGAGGAGATGGGGTGGGGAGAGACACGAGGGTGGTGGCAGTAGGGGGGAATAGAGAGAGAGAGAGAGAGAGCAGGAGGAGGAGGAGGAGGAGGAGGAGGAGGAGGCTGAGGAGGCTGAGGAGGAGGAGGAGGAGGGAGGAGGGAGGAGGGAGGAGGGAGGGAGAAGGGAGAAGGGAGGGAGGAGGGCGCGTGCTCCGTGGGAGCACCCTGGGCACTCCCGCGACCAACCACCCGGGTCACCCGATGCGCGATGCTCCTCGCGCCCTCTCGCCCTCGCGCCGCCCCAACCCCAATCTGGAGAAGGGCAGCCGGCCTGGCCCGGACCGCGAGGCGCGAAGCGCGATGATCTTCGCGCCCCTGGGGGGGTCACGAGAAAGCTTTCCTTGGAGGATGTAAAGCTGCCACAAACCTAAACTTTTGGCGTTCCGCGCGGGTGTCTTGGATCTGCGCTGGACCCCCCCCTCTCTGGCGCGCGGAGCGCGCCAGGGGCGGCGCCAGAGGCGCCGCCAGGGGCAGCCCCGCGCCGATCCAAGAGATCCGCGCGGAGCGCCAAAAGTTTAGGCGTATGGCGTGCTTCCTTCTTCGATTTCTCGGTGGGGCCACGAGGGAGCTGCCCAGCCGCCCGACGGCGCCTCGTGAGGACGGGAGCCATGGCGATCGCTCAGAGACTGCCGCGGAGACGTGCCGCGCACAAGGGGCACGACGACCAGCCAGATTGCCACGGATCCCCCTCGCGCAAAGGAGGCGGTCGCAGGCGCACGTCTTCCGCCCCCGCGGGACGATGTCGGCCGAGGGGAGGCGCCGCGCTGGTGGTAGGTCGGGCATGTCCTCCTACAGGCGGATCTTGGAAGAAAGATAATACATAGTCAATCCACAAGTCCAAAACGATCACAAGAGCACGACAAAAATCGTCCCCTGACTATTTTGGCCTATTTTGAGTGCTTCTCCTGTAGAAGGGCATGCCCGATTGAACGCTGGTGCTCGCACGCTTGAGGCTGGAAGCGAGGCCAGGCCGCGGCGGCTGGGCGGCGCCCGATGGCGGCCGCCGCCCGAGAGCGGCCGCGACTTTCTCGCGGCGGGCGCGGCGGGCGCAGAGGTCCGAGGGCCGAGGGCCGAGTGAGGCCAGGCCACGACACGCCCTGGAGTGGGCTTCCTGTCGGCGGCGAGCGAGGGGGGCATGGGAAGAGGAGTACACCCTGCGAAATGCTTAAGAAATCATGGGTTAAGAAATTCATAGTCTCAGAACTTGAATAAAACCCAGAATTCCCATTCAAACATTAGGATTTACATTGAAACATTAAGAATAATGGAGACTCTGGCCGAAAATTTAAGTTTTCTTAAGCATCGCCTAAGATGTAGCCCTCTGGAGCGCCCGAAGTCACCCCCATGGGCAAGAGGCGGGGGCGCCCAGGTTCGAGCACTGCTCGGCAAAGAGCGAGGCAACACCGGCGTGCTGGCCAGCGCGCCGAGGAGGGCCGGCACGGGCCTGGTGGCGTACCCTGCGGCGCGCAGCCTGTGGCTGCCACTGTCAGCGCCATCCCCGGGGAGAAGACCTGCCTGGGGCGAGGGGGGGGGGGAAGTGCGGAGGAGAAGGCCTTCTCAGAATGCGGCGGCGGGGATTCTCGGGAGCCCTCCTCGCGCCTGCCGGG